ACATACCGACTCTTAAGAAATTATATTGGCCCCTTTAATCTTTGGGTATACTTTCCTTTTGGGTGTTTAAGGCCATACAGTTGGCCCAGATAAACCTATTTATTTTTACTCTTAAGGTCATTTGAGGATCTGTTCCTCAGGGGTCACATGGGCTTGGGAGGAGCCCCTGGCTCTTTTCTTTTACCAGTTTTGCCTATGTGAAGATAAGTCAAAAGTCCTGCTCAACCATGGTTGGCTTTATTTATCTCATTGTCTCACCCCTCAATCATGGTTGTCCCACTTAAGGTACCCCCATTTCCCCCCTTTCTCCCTTAATAATACCCTTCTTCTAATGTCCTACCTCTCTTGAGCTCCTTCTTGCCCTTTATCACCTAGGTTCCTTGTATACCCTTCCCTCCCTCCCCTCCCTTAAACCAACCCAATTTTTATCCATATCTCCATTATTAAGGCCTGTTTCTTACTGTTCTTCTCTTTCAGGTTCTTTCTTTTCCTTTACCTCCCTGGTTCCTTTCCATTATCCTGGTTCCTGTAGTTACATCTGGATATATACTCATCAGGGTTTGGTTCTACGATCCACATATGAGGAGGAACATATGTCGATTTTTTTCTGAGTCTGTGTTACTTCACTTAGTATAACCGCTTCTAGCTTCATCCATTTACCTGAAAATTTCATGATTTCATCTTTCTTTACTGCTGAGTAAAACTCCATCGTATAAATGAACCACATTTTCATTATCCACTCGTCAACTGAGGGACACTTAGGTTGCTTCCATCTCTTAGCTATTGTGAAAAGAGCAGCAACAAACATGGATATACAAGTGTCTCTCTGCAATAGGATGAGTTCTTTGGGTAAATGCCAAGGACTGGTATAACTGGGTCAAATGGTAGGTTCATTTAGGTTTTAAGAGTTCTCCACACTGCTTTCCATAGGGGTTGAACAAGTTTGCAGCCCCACCAGCAGTGGATGAGTGTTCCCCTTTCTCCAAATCCTCTCCAACATTTGAAATCATTTGTTCTCTTGATGTTAGCCAGTCTGACTGGGGTAAGATGAAATCTTAAAAGTGTTTTTAATTTGCATTTCCCTAATTATTAGTGATGTTGAACATCTTTTAACAAGCTTCATAGCCATTTTCT